ATCAAGACATTTTGCAGGAAAACGTACGACCATCTGTCCGCCAACTGAAGCTCCGCAGAGGATGGGTGATGCAACAGGACAATGACCCAAAGCATACAAGTAATTCAACAAAACAATGGCTGTAACAGCACAGAATACGCCTTCTGGAGTGGCCCAGTCAGAGTCCTGACCTCAACCCAATTGAAATGCTGTGGCATGACCTTAAGAGAGCGATTCACACCAGACATGCCAAGAATATTGCTACACTGAAACAGTTTTGTGAAGAGGAGTGGTCCAAAATTACTCCAGATCGTTGTGCAGGTCTGATCTGCAACTACAGGAAATGTTTGGTTGAGGTTATTGCTGCCAAAGGAGGGTCAACCAGTTATTAAGTCCAAAGGTTCACATACTTTTTCCTCCCTGCACTGTGAATGTTTACATGTTATGTGCAATTAAACCATGGCAACATCTAATGTTTGTGTAGTATTATGTTCAGCAGACTGTGTTCTTCTATTGTTGTGACTTAGATGACGTTCAGAGCACATTTTATGCCCAATTCATGCAAAGCTCCACGTAATCCCAAGGGGTTCACATACTTTTTCTTGCAACTGTATATGGTATTGCTGCAATTGTCAAGAGCTGGAAAATTTATTTTGGGTTGTTTTTTGGTGATAGGTTATGGTAGTAACAAGAAACACACAGCTAAATTTAAAAAAATATATATATTTTTTTACTATTTTGGGCCATTTTTCCTTTGATGATAAAACAAAATCAGGAGATATCCATTACTATTTACCACCAAATGGCAGCACAATTTGTCCTGAAAAAAACTAGGTATAATTCACCTGGATGTACAAAGTAGTTGTGATGATATGTATGGTTTTACTAACACATGTCAACATTGCAAAATTGTGATTAGGCGTTAAGATTTGTTTTACCCTTAGGACGTAAAGGGGTTAAACAGTGCATTGAGGTCAGCTTGTAAATTGGAGACATCCTGTAAGGAAGCTTGGTGTCATCTGCAAAGACTGAAAAGATATTTTTAATCCAAGACCCTATATCATTTATAAATATATTAAAAAGTAAGGCTCCCAACACTGAACCTTGGGATACACCACTGACAACCCTAGACCATTCAGAGTATGAATCATTAACCACTACTCCCTGAATACAATCTTTTAGACAGTTTTCCATTAATTTACATACGGATTTTTCCATCAATTTACATATGGATTTTTCATCATTTTTACATACGGATTTTTCCAAGCCTGTACACATTACCTTACACATTAGCCATGTGTGGGGAACTGTGTCAAATGCTTTTGCAAAATCCAAGTATACCACGTCCACCGCCACCTCTCTGTCCAAGGTTTTGCTCACCTCCTCATAAAAAGAAATAATATTTGTTTGACAACTTCTGTGTTTCATGAATGCATGCTGTCTGTTGCTTAAAATATTTTTTTCCAGCAAGAACTCATCTATGTGGTCTTTTATTAAACTCTCCAGTATCTTCCCAACTATAGAAGTTAAACTAACAGGTCTGTAATTACTTGGTAAAGATATGGATCCCTTTTTAAATATAGGAACCACATTGGCCTTATGCCATTCTAGTGATACTATGCCAGTCATTAAAGACCCCCTAAAAATAAAAACAATGGGTTTGAAATGAGAGAGCTTAATTCTTTGGGTGTATGTCATCCAGTCCAGGTGCTTTATTTACCTTTATTATAAATATTTCTGGATCATATCATTTGTGAGCCAATGTGGATCATCTGGAGCTGTGTCAATACCATGCCCATTATGGACACAGCTCCCCCATGCTCCTTTGTATACAGAGAGCTGAACAAAGGTATTAAATAAATGTGTCCCCAGTCACCCACTCTCGATTATTTTGTAAAGGGCCTACATGCTCGGACCGGATCTTTTTACTATTAATATATTTGAAGAATCTTTTGAGGTTTGTCCAGCTATCTTGTGCAATCTGTCGTTCGTATTCAATTTTTGCGGCCTTGATTTCCTTTTTACATATTCTGTTATATTCTTTGTAATGTTTAAACAATGATAGCATACCTTTATTTTATATTTAATAAAAGCTCTTTTCTTATTATCTATAGCTTTTTTAACTTTGGCCGTAAGCCACATAGGTTTCCTTTTTAGCCTTTTAAACTTGTCCATGGGAATATATTTTGCAGTGTGTTCACATACAGTCTTTTTGAAGAACTCCCATTTTTCTGTGTTGTGTTTATAGATGCCAGTATTCCCTCCCAGTCTTGGAGAGCAGCTCTCAGACTTGGAAAATTGGCTCTCTTAAAGTTGACCGGTTTTATTTTTCCTGTAGGTGCTTATTGTTTACAGCTAACAATAAATTAAATCATGTTATGCTCACTGCTACCCAGATGTTCTGTTATATGGACATTAGTTTAACGTTCTGCATGGCTTGAGATTACCAGGTCCAGCACAGCATCATTCCTAGTTGGGGCCTCTATGAACTGTACCAAAAAAAATTGTCCTGTAGTAGGTTTAAACATTTTTTCCCTTTAATTGTTCCTGCAGTACCATTACTCCAGTCAATTTCTGGGTAGTTTAAAATCCCCCATTATTATCATTGTCCCAACCCTTGCAGCCCTTTCTACCTGTGCAAGGAGCTGAGTCTCCACCTCCTCGTCAACACTGAGTGGCGTATTAACAAATTCCAATGATTACCTTTGTAGTACACACCCCCATGTGCAGTTTCACACTCTCCATCAACTAGGTCCTCTTTCACACTCGCTCTGAGATCACTTCTCACATAAAGACAGACACCACTACCTTTCCTATTTACCCTGTCTCTCCAAAAGAGAACATAGCCAGGAATATTAATGGCCCAGTCATGTGAATAATGAAGCCAAGATTCAGCAATACCAATTAAATCATAGGTCTCTTCATGCACCAAAGCTTCCAACTCATCTATTTTGCTTGGCAGACTTCTGGCATTGGTGAACAAACACTTTATTTCATTAACATCTTTTGCACACGTATTTTGCATATTTTTTATGTTAGTACAAATGGTACCAATTCCAATGGTTGTTTGTAACATGGGCACCTTCTTATCACCTATTATAGCCCTCCCCCCATCTTTCTCCCATTCCACCCACCAATAAAGACTGACCCCTGTCTGATCTGTCTGCCCCATTATAATCTAATTCTCCCTCCCCCACTAATATTCACCTAAGCTCACTCTCGATCCAGTGATGTGCACTGAAATCTTGTCTATCCTGGAACTCCCTCTTCTCATTGGCTGAGACAGAAGCGAGAATGCTGTCAATAACACCCAGTGAGCCAATGAGAAGAGAGGGGGGGCAGGGCTGAGCCGTGGCTCCGTGTGTGAATGGGCACACAGAGCAGTGGGTTCCCCCATAGCAAGCTGCTTGCTGTGGGGGCACCCGACAGGAGGGAGGGGCCAGGAGAACCTGTGGGGGACCCGAGAAGAGGAGGATCCAGGCTACTCTGTGCAAAACCACTGCACACAGCAGGTAAGTATAGACATGTTTGATATTTTTTCTTAAAAGAAAACCTTTAGAATCAATTTAAAATAGCTATAAATAAAAAGAAAAGAGCATTAAAAAAATTAAGTAACACAATCACCATTTAAATGTTACAAAGTATATAACAGAATATTAAAAAAGGAAACCAAGACAGCAAAAATTGAAAACGAATGATAGGTTGCAAAAGAGAGTATGTGAAATGGTACAGTGTAGTATGGTGGCAGCACATACTCAGAGCCCGACGGCAACAAAACCCAGAACTTGTATTGAAGGCAAAGCCAAATACAAACACCCCAGGGGGAGAATGCCTCTTGGGGAGAACACTCACAGTTCAGTACAAAGGCAGAGATGCAGCAGGGAGTGATGCAATGACAGCTTCTGTTGCAGATGGTGAAGTGCGGCCTGGCCAGTCTGGTCCCAAAGGGGAGGCTTCCTGGAGCACAGAAGATCTCTAGCCTGTCCCTTCTCGACAGGAACCCCTACCTTCCACCAGTCACCCCCGATCTGCCAGATGGGGCCTCCCCCCGCCCACCTTGTAAGATCACAGCAAAACCTGGGGGCAGGGCCTTACAAAGACCTTGCTGACCCAAGATGGCCACCTGGGGTCACATGGATGCAGCATAGCCAACTGGCATGCTGCTCCATGACCTGAGAAACCACAGTGAAACCAGGATTCCCTTGACTTCTTCTCCAGGTCACGGTAGCTCTTGTTTGACACCATTGATGCGGCACCATTCCTCACACTGACATCAAAGATGGGGCCCCATTCCTCCCACTGACACCAATGATGGGCACTATTCCTCCCACTGACACCAATGATGGGGGTACTATTCCTCCCACTGACACCAATGATGGGGGTACTATTCCTCCCACTGACACCATTGATGGGCACTATTCTTCCCACTGAGACCAATAATTGGGATTTAATCTCCCCTAACACCATATTCTGTTCCTGCTGGTCACAGTCCGGCCCCCCTAAAGCTTGAAGGACAGTGAACTGGCCCTTTGTTTAGAAGACCCTTGTTCTATCTCATGCTGCCACTCGGGGAAACTAAAACCCCTCTAAGTTTGTATTTTACAATAACTATAGGATGAGCAGGTAGGTGACACCAGAACTGAATAATGGTGTCACTCTCCTTGCTATGCTGTCTACAAGAAACGTCTGTAGTAGATTGGTAGGCGAGAACTGCAAATCTATTGGCAACTGAAACAGTTCCCATGTACTTAGCGTACAGTACGTGTCCCTGTACGCCTGATGATCAGCGTCTATGTTATCGCGCAGGACATTTAGAAGCCGGAACATTTCTTCTGGTCTCCTGAGCTGCCGGAAGGTGAACAATGTGACACTCGTTAGCAGCAGTGTGCGGAATTGAAAAGCAGAATCAGTGGTGGAGGTAAGAGCTGGTTGGATGGGAAGGATTGCATTCAGTGTTATGGTATGGGATCTCCTGTACTGGCTCCATGATTATAGGACTGTGCGGTCAGTGGGGGATTGTCTGCCATAGATTGGAGTATATGTGCGGGACATGGAGGGATGGAGTCCATCTCCGTACTGTGGTCTTCCGGGTTTGTTTTATTTCCTCTTTTCTCAAACTGGAGCTCCGACCCACTTAAAGAGACAGTGCTCGGACACGCCATACAGAGGATTTCAGTATAGAAAAGTACAACTAAAGGCATTTTTTGGATGGTGTAAGGGAGATTATAACCACTGGCAGTTTTTTTTATATATCTGTGTCCCATAGAGGAGATTTTCCTTCACTTCCTATTCCATATCCAAAACAGAAAGCGAGAGGAAACCCCTCCAAAGTGGCAGAATTCCAGGGTCACTAGAACTAGTATCGCAGGGCGCTTTGCTTTGAATTCGCTCTTCCCAGCACTCCATCCCCACAGCTATTTCCTCCTGTACCACTCTCCCCTCCCTCCTAGATTGTAAGCTCCAAGGAGCAGGGCCCTCGAACCCTTCGTGTATTGTATTGTTACTGTACTGTCTCGTGTACTGTCTGAGCAAACTGTTGGCGCTATATAAATCCTGTATAATAATAACTAGAAAAGCTACAATTTCTGGGGAAATTGTGTGAAGTGTTCTTGCCTCCACCAGTAGTCTACAACTGGAGTGGGCCGAGTAACTGGGTGGACTGGCTTGAGTAACTGTTGAGTAACTTTATGGAGTGGGCAGAGTAAGGCTGGACATACATTATACAATTATCTGGAGATTTTTGGTTTAGATTTACCAAAAACCATATAATAGGAGGACAAACCTAAACAACACTTTCAGTTGTATCCAATTAGGCAGGCCCTTGCACTACACAGTTGAAGGTAAATCTAAAGGAAATTGGGCAGAAAATTGGAAGATAATTGTATAATGTATGGCCAGCCTAACTGTGTGGAGTGTTTGGAGTGAGTAAAGATAGTAAACATTACACTAACCAATTGATTGATCAAATTTAAAAAGTGCACATGGCAAGCTTGATAGAGTGAGAAATGCATTTCAACTTTTAATTATTTATATAACACATTTAATTGCAATGTTGTTGCCCAAAGTGCTTCACAGTTACATTAAAAGTTGAAATACATTTATAAAAACATTAGCAGCATTATCACCTCAAATACTCTCTACTGTAGAAAACATATTTCCAAACCTTTAACCAGAAGCCGGCCAAACTGTCACAAATTCAAAATTAGATTTCAAATAGGGCGGAGAAGAGCGGGTAAAAACAAACTGCTCCAAATTGCTCACTTCACTGGCGTCTTCAAATGGTCATAGTTTTTAAAAACTATAAATCCTAAAGCGAAGAGCTTTATATTGTGAGAATCACAAGATCCAGACCTACATTTTGATGCATAGTATGTCTCTGAAATATTGAAAATGAAGGCACAGTCGCAGTTTAGATATTGCCCTTCAAATCTGAGGTGGATTGAGTGGAGTTTCAATGAACGTCTATGGGCGGCGTGAGTTGCAAACAAATGGTCATATTGTGAAAACTATCAGGACTATGGCTTAGCCGTGGACATTTGTAGTGGCAGCTGGGATAGCTGAACGTTTTGATATAAGATTTGTGTAGGTGGGCTTGAAAATGAGGGGGAGTGATGGCAGTTTAGAAATCATGTCCTGATTTTTCAGCTCACACTCTAGCTTATGTCAGCTCCCACTCTAGTTTTGAACATTCCGCCATTCATTCCTATGGGACCAATTTCACCACAAATATGCCAATATTTCATGAACCATTCGGCGAACCGTTCCACAAAGTAATAGCACACCAATCGGGAACAATCCTCACATTTCGGTATATTACTGTCTATGTAGTGTAAAAACTCTATTACAAACAATGTTTTTTTTTTTTTACATCACATATGATGCAATGATTTTTTTGGTTACAGATTCTCTTTAATGACACATCCAGGCTCTAAAAGACCCCACATGTCTCCCCTGTGCACCATGGAATGTAATGTTGTGCACATTGCACTGCATTACATTCTTTCCCAGCCTCGATAGCAACAAGAAAGGGAGGATAGCAGAGTTGTATCTGCTGTTTTCCATCCCCTCTACCCGGCAGCACCTGCTATGCTGGTCCCAGGCCTGCAGGTAGGCAAGCAGAGCCAGGGATACATAGTGGGGGGGTTTGCGCGCAGGGTATGTGGAACAGCCACTTTGTCCTCATCACTCAGTATGCAGCCCATGGCAGTGATGCTCCGTTCTCCTCCTGCCCAATCACCAATCATCTGAACAGTCCGCTACACCCCCGCACTGCCCGACTGAGACAGGGAGCTGCCCGCCTTTGCTTAGGTTCTGCCCTGACACCTGATCCGGCCCCGAAGCAGGACACAGTTGATTCCGCCCAATCAGCTTCACAGTTTGGCTCACGCCTCATGAGATGGAAGGCCCAGCTGTTTTAGGCTCCATGCACGCTGGGTGTTGTAATAAACCTGGTAATGTTAGCTGTGTAAAGTCACGTTAAAAACTTGAGTTTTTCAGTGTTTTTCAGCATTTTTTTATTTTAGAGTTTTGCTGCGATTTTTCGCGTTTGTGTTTGTGCCAAAAATCGTTGATTACAGCCTATGTGTGCATGGACACATAGGATAACATGCTAGGGAGTTTGACTGTAGAAAAAAAACATCAAAACCCCAAAACAGCCGCTGTAAAATGTCCAGTGTGCTTGAGGACATACGACCACGTAGACCAGTGAGTAGAATTCCATTGCCTGACTCTCAGACTGAGAACCTGCCTGCCCTCCCAGGCTCAGAGCTAGGCTTGGAGCATACAAGGTGGTGTCAGCAGTGAATGGGCTGACAAAAGCCAAGGCGCCAAGACACGACTGCTAGTTGCCGTGGTGCCTGGGATTTATCTAGTGGGGGGGGGGGCACGGAGCCCTGTAGTATCCCCATTTGAAGCTTTCCCTTATATATCTGTTCTGGTGACAACCTAAAATTTGGGATTATTCTTCTACTTTCACTTTTGACAGTAATGGCAAACAGGAAGTGAATCTCCCTAATGGGAACACAAAGAGAGGTATAACCTGGCGGGTTCTAATTCCTCTCCACTCTATCCAAACCTGAAAAAAATGCCTTTGCTTACACTTTAATAATTTGCATTTAAACTAATGAAAAACTACCAAAGTTGCCTATACTTTCCTGGGGATAACACACATATTACAGTCTTTATTGCAGGTTGAAGAAAATGCATAAAATATAACTAATGGCAAGACTTTTGTTTTTAGTTTTGTATTGTGTGGAGAGGGATTAGAACACCTGCCAATTTTCATTGCTGTCTGTACCCCTATGAAGGAGATTCCCCCTCTCTATTTATCCTGTTTACCATTATTGGTGAAAGTAAAAGAAAACCCCAAATTGTGGGTTTTCCCCAGAAAAGTAATAGAGAGGAAATCTTCCAATGGGGACATGGAGGGTCCCTTTGGGATTCCTGTAATTTGCAGGGATTTCTTCTCGCTTCCTGTTTGGCTATGGGACATCTCCGCAATGGGACACAGATGGCGAAAAAAATCTGACGGGTTATAACCCTCCCTTGCTCTAGCCAAAATGAAAAAAAAAAATTGCCTATAGTTCTTCATTAAAGCTGTTGTAAAGGCTCAAGGTTTTTTACCTTTTATGTATTCTATACATGAAGGTAAAAAACCTGAGTACAGCAGTGCCCCCAGCTCCCTCAATACTTACCTGAGCTCCATCGAGATCCAGCAATGTGCAGAACAGCCTCGGTTGTCCTGGGTCTCTGTCTCCTCATTGGCTGTGACAGCAAGCGGGAGCCATTGTTTAAACTTGCAGGTGGTGGGGGAGGGTAAAAATAGGTGGTTCAACTGCAAACTTTTTGTGCTTCAATGGCCCCTTTTAACTTTATATGGCAGGTTGGTACACATACCACAGCAAAATTTATGCCCCCATGTTGGTTTTTTGGGGCAGCACCACTGCTAAACACAACTTAATTAAGTAAATGATGCTGTATTGCAGCTGTGTGTAATACACATAATAAAAAAAAAATTAAATAAATCTAGTGCATACAATTGCTACACAAGTCACATTCGGCATCCCTTGCAACAAAAATGTCATTTTTGGTGACATGTTCCCAAAGTAAATCACATCTAAAGGGATGAAGATACTGCCAATTCCTCATTAGAGCCCTACAGATGCAGCAGCTGATTGGTAATTATAAAACCACTCTCATTCTCCTTCACTTTGCACATGGACACAGGCAAACTAATCATTGTTTCTTCAGAATAACAAAAGGTAGGAATCTGAAACAAGGTTTTTAAAATCCTTGCAATGTACGTAAGATTACCCAGAAGGTGTTTTTTTTTTCTCAACAAAAGTGAAGTTACTCTTTAAATCAAGCCCTGATCTAGCTATTTTATCTTTATTTTTTTCTACACACAGACATTTTTTTTTCTTGTAAATTCTTCTCTGGCTATAAAAAAGATATAATGTTCAGAGTAGAAAGAGAGTACAAGGGCAAATTTTACTGACTGTCATCACTGTGGTAGACAATCACAATCTGTCACAGTGATCATGTGATCGGAGGCTGTCACAGTTCAATCTGTTTGCTGAGAGCACACTTCCAGCACAAACACAGGTATGCAAATATATATGCGGTGCTATGGAAGGAGACCCATCTCCATGATGCTGCATACATGTGTGACGCTGGAGGGAGCAGGTTAACATTCTCTGGTACTTTTCCAGTACTTTGTCTCCTATATTAAAATCCGTAGAAATTCATCATAAATCTATCACAACTGTATAGCCCTTGCATAAGCACACTAAAGCTGAAGTCTGGAAAACATTTTATTTTCAATACTGTATTAGCTAAGTAAGAGAATTATGATAAAATGTATACTGTGTGTGGATGGCTGCTGCATTGTAAAAAACATATCTTGCTGCATGCCAACGTCTACTCACAGCATTGTTACTGTGGGGATGTGAGAGGTGACTATGACAGTGAAAGGATCCAGACACATTCCCACCTCCTCCTCTTTCCTTATCCATTCACAAAAAGCCTTGCATGTTTTTCACAGAAAATAAGTTGTTCTGTGAATGGGCAAGGGGAGAGGAGGGGTGGATGACTGACACGATCTTCCCTTGTTCATTTACAGAACCCCTTACATTGTGTTAAAAGAATACCAGGCTTTTTGTGAATGGAGGAAGGGAGAGGAAAGGGAGGGTGAATGATGGCAGCCTTCCACTATTACAGTTTCAGCTCTTCACCCCAGTAGCACCAGATGTACTGTATAGCACTGTATGTAGGATCCGGCATCAAAGTAGCTATTATCATTTGCTGTCCCCAGAAGCCACCTGGACCTAGAACAGTATAAATTAGAGGAGAGATCTTGTGGCATTCCCATCCATCCTCTGAGGAGAGAGGGGGGGGGGGGGGACTGTGACTGAAGCCCTTCCCTGCCATAGCTGCATTTCCCATCTCTGGAGCACCCGGAAATACAGTGCTGTGTGGAGGAGCAAGCTAGGATTTTTTGATACTATGCAGCAGACAGTATACATTAGGACTGATTTTCATAGTTCGGTTTTAACATGTTCTTATGATACTTTCTGCTTTAAATGAGACCCATCTTCCAGTAACATGGTTAAAACAGCCATTCTCATAAATGTTGCTTGTTTCTTCTTCCAAATGATGCAGTGTATAGTTTATTTATTAAAACCAAGACTATTTCTAAGCAAAAACTCTCTCTAATGGGCACACAGACAGCAATAAAAACCTTACAGGATGGGTCTAATCCCTCTCCATTTTATCCAAAAATAAAAAATGTTTACTTTCAGTTATACTTGAGATCCTAATTCTATTTCTGAAAATTATTAACATTATTATTATACAGTATTTATATAGCGCCAAAAGGTTTGCTCAGCGCTGTACATTATAGTGGGGGACAGAACATGAGACAATACAGTAACAAAACAATACACGAGGGGTTCGAGGGCCCTGCTCTTTCGAGCTTACAATCTAGGAGGTATGTTAATAGTAACATACTATGCCCGCATCTGGGAATCAAACCGCATGCAAAACACACTGCATTTGCGATCTGCAGCAGGTGTCAAAAGTTGACGACACCCGAAACACTGCGTTTGACCGCACCTGCCTGCACCAGTACTTTTGTACCATGCAATCCGGTTGCAATGTTCAACGTAGTGCATGTACTATGTTTGGTGTTGTACAGTGCGATTTTAGCCCATTCAAAATGAATGGGCTGAAATTGCACTGCACAGAGCCACATGTGAATCGCACAGGTACACACAGTGCACTCCTGTGCGATTCAGATGCGGACATGGTGTGAACTGACCCTAAGGATTTAATTATAAAGTACCGTATTTGCCGGCGTATGATGTCAGTGGGAGGAATAGTGCCCCATCATTGGTATCAGTGGGAGGAATAGTGCCCCATCATTGGTATCAGTGGGAGGAATAGTGCCCCATCATTGGTGTCAGTCAGTGGGGGGGGGTGGAATAGTGCCCCATCGTTGGTGTCAGTGGGGGGGGAATAGTGCCCCATCGTTGGTGTCAGTGGGGGGGAGGAATAGTGCCCCATCGTTGGTGTCAGTGGGAGGAATAGTGCCCCATCGTTGGTATCAGTGGGAGGAATAGTGCCCCATCATTGGTATCAGTGACACCAATGATGGGGCACTATTCCTCCCACTGAGACTTGCTGACCCTGTTCTCGTATGGTGCTGCTGCAGCCAGCATATGTGGTTGCAGCAGCACCTCTACACAGAACACTTACCTGCTGCTCCGGCACTCAATTTTCGCGGGGTCGCTCGGCTCCGCCCCCTCGCCGGTGATTGGCCGCCTGTGTGCCTTTCCTGAGCTACAGTTCTGGCGGCCAATCACCGGTGAGGAGGCGGAGCCGAGCAGCCGCACGAACATCCAGTGGCCGAACTGAAGGAGACGCCGCGCTTCCTGGACCGGGTCGTCGTGGGACTGGATCCAGGTAAGAGACATCAGCCCCTGCAAACCCCTGTACTTAATGCCGCAGCCCCCCTAAACATGTGTACCGGCGTATAAGACGACCCCCGACTTTTGAGAAGATTTTCAAGGGTCAAAAAGTTGTCTTATACGCCGGCAAATACGGTAATAGTTTTTGGGATTCACACAGTGAATGTTTAAGTTTCATCTGGTTTTTTTTTTATGGTAATTATTTTCGGAGGATTCACCCAGTGAATCACCCTGGGGTCCCCAGGCAGTGCTCTTGGCTCTTTCCCCCCCTTCTGAGTCCGAGCGGGGATGGGGCAAAGCTCCGCTGTTGGTGTCAATGGACGTAGACAGTGGGGCTCAGGAGTGAGCCTGCACAAGTTCCCCTCAGCAAGTGGCTTGCTGAGGCGGACTCGTGCGGGCTTGCTCCTGAGCCCCACTGCCTGTGTCCATTGACACAGACAGCGGAGCTTTACCCCATCCCCCACTTCTTTGTCATAGGATCCTGAACACAGAAGGTTTTTACCTTATTGCAGAGCATGCATTAAGGTCCCTGCATTCACTATATATGGTATCCCACAGTACACGGAAATGCAATTATTTTAGTAAATATAAACTGTTAAATACCTTTTCACATTATCAATTAGAGAGCAGTCTTGTGACTTCTATCAGTGTCCAGCAAAGCATTGGTTAAAGTGTGTAGGAGTAATTTTCATTCTTCCTTATGTGGCTGCTAAACCCCTGACCCTCTGTCTGGAAAGTGTTGATTGGCCCTGTGCTGATCACATGCACTCTCCCAAGAAATAAAACTCTAGCAATACACACCAAACTGAGCATGTGCAGCTTGCCCTCAAGGCCCTGTTCTATCAGGATATATATTGGGGACAGTGGAAGAAGGGGAGATTCAGAGAAGACGGGGTCAAACCGCTTAGGTTCCACAGTGAGTATAACAAGCATGCTTTACTACATATATAGACTGATTTTACTGTAGTGGGTTAAGTACTCTTTAGAAACACTTTATAATGAGATTCAAATTTGTTGTGCAGCTTGTACAAGGAATTCTTTATAAATAGACCCCATATTACTTATATGACAGTTTACATGATTACCTTCTGAATTTTTCCATCTGAGCACCTTTGTCTTTGCAGTTTAAAAATATTTTGCATCGTCCACATTGTACCTTGAGTTGGATTACTTTAGAAAGTTTTTGTTTTAACTAGTTCACTTTCTCTTTTATTACCCTGTAATATCTCTGTATCAATAGGTGAATTGCACTCAATCAGTAAGCGTTGCCTGCTTGAAAATGAAGTGCTTCCTAGAAAGTGTGGATAAAAAACACAGTCCTATTGAGCTCCGTGATGGTGTAGCTGTAATTCTGGGAAGAAGTCCCCTGACCTGCATCGCTGACAGGAAATGCTCCAAGACTCAAGGTGGGTCTCTGGAAATCATATAAATCTAGTATATATGTATCAGATACACATTCTAAAAACAATAACAATTTAAATGTGTAATAAAGTTACCTTTCATACTTGATTTTGTAAAATATCTGGACTGTACACATTGCAAGTGATGATCATAGATAGTTTATTATTGTTTGGGACACATTTAAAGCAGTGCTTCAGCCAAAAATAACAATACAAATGAATAGCTCATTTAAATAAAAAAGCAAATTTAAAACCTTTTCTTCAATATTCTCCTTTAAAGTGCATTTGAAAAATAACAAACATGTCATACTTACCTGCTCTGTGCAATGGTTTTGCACAGAGCAGCCCAGATCCTCTTCTGCTGTCTCAGCCAGCACTCATGGCTCTTCCCCCTGATGAGTTCCCCCATAGCAAGCCGCATGCTATGGGAGCACTTGTTTTTGCTCACTCCAGATTTGGCTCTCTGTGTCCATAAACTCACAGAGTGTGGCTCAGAGCTGCCCCCTGTTCCATTTACACTGGCTGTGATTGACAGCAATGGGAGACAAAGGCGGCTATGTCTGAGCCAATGAGGAGGCGGAGAGCAGAGAGAGCCTCTGCTATTGTTCACAGTGCTGAATTGAAATTGGGCCCAGGTAAGTATTAAGGGAGCTGAGGAGGAAGCTGCACTGTAACAAAAACTATTTTCAGTAACTGCTTATCAAGTGTTAGCTGGAGCTCAGCTTCAATTTGTTCGTGTATTTAAATATCCTATCACATCTAACACTCGCCTACCCCCAAACTGACAATGCTGCTGTCCAAAGGATCCCATGTGCTCCTTCATCCACAGTGGAGGCACTCTGATACAGGAGGTGTGTTAATGGCTAGATCACCAGGTGAAACCAGAAAAAAAAAAAAAAGTCTAAAAGCAAACTATCCTATCCACCACAGCTAAGGATTGGTAAGCTGCAATATATTAGATTTTTGGTTTGGGGTTTAATGCTGCTTTAATTGGAGGTAACTTGTTTAACTTGTGGTGTTTCCTTGAGTTCAGCTTTAACCACTAGGGGACCGCCCGCAGGATCACGTCTATAAACGTAGGGGGCACGCGCGAGTGACCGCCGTACCCGCGGCACCGATGTCAATCACCGGATCCCAACCGGTGATTACCCGCCGGAGCCCGGCGATTGCCGGCAGTCACTGACAGAGAGGAAGGCTGCATTGTTTTCAATGGAGCTTTCCTCCCTGTCAGCTTTCAGCTCACTGTTCCGGGATCCCTGGTCACAGCCTGCCGAAACAGTGTGTAACAGAGCAGTACACACCCCCGCCCCCAAGTAAAACACTCCCCTCACATAGTTAACCCTTTCATTGTCTCCAAAAGTTAACCCCTTCCTCCCCAGTGCTATTAGTACAGTGTCAGTGTTTCTTTTTTTGCACTGATCACTGTATTAATGTCACTGGGGATGTCAGTGACCCCAAGTCAGCCCCCCCCCCCCCTCAGTGTCAGAATGTCCGCCACAGTCCCACCATAAGTCACTGATCGCCGCCATAAGTCGCTTAATTAGCTGCAGGATTGCTTTTACAAGCAGTGCGAGACAATGTCCCCCCTCCCCCACTGCCTTCCACGGCCTTCTCGGGCAGTCCCGTGCCATCGGGGGAACCTGAGAATGCAGACGGTGTTTCTGCCAGCTGACCATAGAGCTGATTGGAGACCAGAATGGCGCCAATCATCTCTATAGCCTAAGAAATCAGACGCTACGAGCATTTTATCACTTCAGTTTCGCAGGATATAAACAGCGCCATTTGTAAATTGGGAAAGCATCTGATCACACTCATCTTGGTTTGATTAGATAATGTAAGGGTAGAGGAGATATCTAGAGTCTGATAGAACCCAGATTTCTGAAAAAAGAATATATGACAATGCCCATTGAAGTTATAGGGGATATTTGCATTCCCTGTGATAGCATTAAAAGTGATCAAAAAAAAAAGAAGAAAGGTACAGTGTAAAAAATAATAAAAAAAATCAAAATAACTTAAAAAAAAAAAACTCGCCCCTCCCATGCGCGCACACCTGTGTGCACAAGCCTTGACCCTTTGTCGGTATGTAAACAACGGTTGCGCCATACATGTGAGGTATCACTGTGAACGTCAGATCAAGGGCAGTAATTCTAACACTAGACCTCCTCTGTAAATCTAAAATGGTAGCTTTTAAAGGTTTTTAAAGCGTTGCCTATGGATATTAAAAATGTATGCAGTTTGTCGCCATTGCACCGGGCATGCGCAGCTTTAAAGCATGTCATGTTTGGTATCTATTCGGCATACCATCATCTTTTAGATTTTACCAAATAATTGGCCAACATATTGTGTTTTTGTGCATTAAAAGTAAAAAAAGTGTATTTTTTGTTTTTTAAATTTGCTTTTGAAAAATCGCTGCACGAGTACTATGTGCCATAAAAAATTGTAGTACCCACTATTTTATTCACTAGGGTGTCTGCTTTAAAAACATATATAATATTTGGGGGTTTAAATTAATTTCCTAGCAAAAAATACTGATTTTTTTTTTTTTTTTTTTTTTTTCATGTGAACAAAAAGTGTCAGAAAAGGCTTGGTCTTCATGTGGTTAGAAAAGTGAGTGATGTGTGGCATAAACTTCTAATGCTGGGCATAAACCGCCCCCACCCCCCAAAACGACCACTTTTTGGAAAGTAGACACCCCAAACTTTTTGCTGAGAGGCATGTTGAATCAATAGAAGAATTTATTTTTTTACCACAAGTTTTTGGAAAATGAGAAAAAAATATTTTTTTTGCACAAAATTGTCACTTAAATGATTTATTGCTCACACATGCCATGGGTATATGTGGAATTACTCCCCAAAATACATTCTGCTACTTCTCCGGAGTATGGGGGGTACCACATGAGAGAGAGAGACTTTTTGGCAGTCTAGCCAAATACAGGACCCCAAAATCCAATAAGCACCTTCAGGCTTTTAAAGGGCTTTATTTCCTTATTACACTTCCTGACTACCTATCACAGTTTCGGAGGCCCTGAAATGCCAGGATAGCACCTAACCCCCCCAAATGACCCCTTTTTGGAAAGTAGACACCCCAAGGAATTTAAAAACAGCCTTGGTGAGTATTTAGCGTGTCTACTTTCCAAAAAGGGGTCATTTGAGGGTGTTTGTACTATCCTGGTATTTTAGCACCTCAAGAAATGTGATGGGCAGTCAGAAAGTAAAAGCTGTGTAAATTCCATTATCTGTACCATAGTTTTTAGACACTATAACTTTCACACAAAGCAATAAATATACACTTACTGGGATTTTTTTTTTAACCAAAAACACATAGCAGAATGCATTTTGGCCTAAATTTATGACGAAATTTTAGTTTTTTGGATATTTTTTATGATGGAAATGAGAAAATTGTTTTTTTTTCAAATTTTTTTTTTTCTTTTCTTCAAAAATGTTTTTGTTTATAGCGCCAAATATAAAAAGTACACAGGTGATCAAATACCACCAAAAGAAAGCTCTATTTGTGTGAAAAAAAGGACATAAATTTTATTTATGTACCGTATTGCATGACCGCGCAATTGTCCATTAAACTACCGCAGCGCTGTATAGCAAAAAAAATGGCGTAAATTGCAGCATCTATACCATAGTTTGTAGACGCTATAACTTTCACACAAAGCAATCAATATACACTTATTGGGATTTTTTTTACCAAAAACATGTAGCAGAATACATTTTGGCCTAAATTTATAACTAACTTTGAGTTTACTATATATTTCTTATAGCTGAAAGTAAAAAATATTGTTTTTCTTCAAAATTTTTTTTTTTTTTTTTTTGTTTATAGCGAGAAAAATAAAAAGCGCACATAAAATACCACCAAAAGAAAGCTCTATTTGTGTGAAAAAAAGGACGTACATTTCATTTGGGTACAGCATTGCATGACCGTGCAATTATCAGTTGAATTAGTGCAGCGCCGAGTAGCAAAAAGAGGCCTGGTCATTAAGGGGGGTAAATCCTCTAGAGGGCAAGTGGTTAAAGGCAACACAAAAATCTATATATACGCTAAATGTTTCAGAAATTATGTATAAGGTGCCCGCAAATCACATGGCAATTGCAGCACAATGCGTTGTGCGTGTTTGGGTGACATTATCCTTCAGTGGCACCCCATACACGATGTGACTCTGCCACGGTTGACATGCGGCAAATTGCGCCTTTCAAAGTCATAATCCTCCCTCCCCCCCCCAGACCCCCTTATTTTTAGCTGAGCCTGATTCTATCCAGTGATGTGCAAGAGATAAGTGGCTCTCGCCGTTGGCTCCCACTGCTATCAATCAAATGCTGTGCTAAACGAGCAGGGAGCTGGGCTGAATTGTCTGCTATGTGTCGGTGGACGCAAACAGTGAGGCTAGGGAGCGATTCTGCACAAGTGCCCCCATGGAAAGCGACTTTCCATGAGGGCACTTGTTAAAGAGGAAGTGCCTGGAGCACCGGCGGGCAACCTGAGAAGAGGTAGATCGGGCTGCTCTGTGTAAAACTATTGCACAAAGCAGGAAAATATGACATGTTTATTATTTTAATTGAAAAAAAAAAAAATAAGCTTTAATGTCACTTTAAAGGATATGTAAACCCCCTTCTTGTAAAACAACCCAATCTGTTTAAAATAGAAATGAAAAGCAAAACATTTGTGTATACATATAAAAACATTCTAAACACTTTTTCTTTTGCCCTCCTTTTTTTTTTTTTGCTTTTTGTTTTTTTAAGTGATCACATACCCTTTGTTAGCTGCATAAGGAGCTCAGGGAAGAGAAACAGAAACACTCTGTGAGGTGGTGGGGTGTCAGGACAAGTCTGATCATCGGAGGAGAGCATGCTGAGTTCCCAGCACAGGTAGAGAACTGACCATGTTGTGTTCCGATGACTAGGAAATGCAGAGGGATTGGCTGGAACAGCAGGTATTTCACAGAAAGGAAGCAATACAAAGAGAACAGGATCCTTTTTCAAACAAGTACATGGTACAGCAGGCATATATCAGGAATCTGAAATGTCGGATTTACATGTACCTCACTGTTCTGTCAGTGAGAATGTGTTATGTATGGCTGGAGTGAGTGCAGTAGATGAAACGTCATCCCTTTTTTTTTTACAGTGGAGCTTGTTGCAAATATTGAGAAGAGAGTTGTTCGTGTCACTCAGGTATTGGAAGCTTTTATTGTATTATTTCCTCTAAAATAAACTAACAAAGACCTAGGGAATACATAAGAAGGAACTTATTGGGAAAAAAAATATGGCAGCCACAGTTTCAGATTTGTTTGACAGTGCATGCTGCAGAGCTTTTATTTTTATTTTTTTATAAATTATTCATTTATCAAAAATGCAGGCTCCTCCAATACATGTCACACCTTTTGACATGGAGTCACCATATACAGTACATACAATATAAACGATAGCAGTACAACATATCAGCATAAGGTGCAAAACATATATATAAGTTTAACAAAGCATTTACAATACAGAATCTAAAGCGGACCACAGGTAGATCCTGGTTAATAAAGATCATGCAAAAATTATGTATACTTTAAAGTACAGAGGACAACCACCTCAAGGAAAAAAAAGGAGATAGATGAAAAGAAGTAAGACAGTGGGAAAAAATTGGAAGGTTAAGCCAGGGTTTTCTGGAAAAGGCCACCCCTCATCTGGTCGAGTTTGCATTGAGAAGAGCCTTTCCTTCTTCAGAGAAGACAAACATGTTGCACAATGTCCAGGTTTTGGTATACACCTCTCGTCTATGCTATGCCAAGAGGACCAGATCTTCCATAAGATTCAGTTCTACTTTATTAAACCAAAGACCCTCGGTCAGCAGTTAGGTGCATTTCCAGGTGAGGGGAATGCATGCTTTAGCTGCATTGAGGAGTTGACAGAGTTTAGACTTCTTACTGGTTTTGGCAGGTATGTCAGAGACATGAAGGAGAAAGCAAGTAGGTAGAGCTTTTATTCTTATTCTTCTGTCTCCCTTGTAGAGCAACTATAATCTGCAAGCATGTCAGTCTAAGATTTCAGTGTTCCTACGCTGGTGATTCAATAGGGAGGAAGTATAAAGATAACTGCTTTGGAGCATGCATCATCAAATACAAGCCAGCACTGGTGGATCCCAGTCCTGACAGGTTTCTTTAAAAGCAGACTAAACTTAAAATTTAGGAGGGAACAGGTTGTGCAATATTTAATTTCCAGGTCATGTGACATAAAGTAGACATGTTAAGTTGCCTATGTCTCTGCATTGCAGGGGCAGCCTCAGCAGAGTTTTATTGACTTTATAGACTTTGCTCCTCAGGGCACTGGCACATGTAATCCAGAGCTGAAGTGCCACAGGACCTGTGGTTTGGGGGATAGGTTTTTACACCATGGGGCCCCCACCCTGCCTCCCTAATGTCTCAGCAGTTTTCAAAAGGTGGCCTAAACTTAAAAAGTTTGGTGCCCCATCATTAGTGTCCGTGTGTGAGGAATAGTGCCCCATCCTTGGTATCAGTGGGAGGAATAGTACTCCATCATTGGTGTCAGTGGGTGGAATCGTGCCCCATCATTGGTGTCGGGGAGGAATAGTGCCCCATCATTGGTATTAGTTGGAGGAAGTGCCCCATCATTAGTGTCAGTGGGAGGAATCGTGGCTCATCATTGGTGTCAGTGGGAGGAATCGTGCCCCAACGTTGGTGTCGGGGAGGAATAGTGCCCCACCATTAGTGTCAGTAGGAGGAATGGTGCCCCATCATTGGTGTCAGTGGGAGGAATCATGCCCCATCATTGGTGTCAGTGGGAGGAATCGTGACCCATCATTGGTGTCAGGGGGAGGAATAGTGCCCCATCATTAGTGTCAATGGGAGGAATAGTGCCCCATCATTGGTGTCAGTGGGAGGAATAGCGCCCCACCTTTGGTGTCAGTGGGAGGAATAGCGCCCCATCTTTGGTGTCAGTGGGAGGAAGTGCCCCATCATTGTGATCAGTGGGAGGAATAGTACCCCATCATTGGTGTCAGTGGGAGGAAATGTGCCCCCCTCAGTGTCAGTGACTCCAATGAGGGGGCACCATTCCTCCCACACTGACACTAATGATGGGGCACTATTACTCCCACTGACACCAATTATACTTACATCGCTGTGCTGACCCCTGCTCCAGCCCGGGCTCCCTCCTTCAGGCACAGACACTTACCCATCAGCTGTCTTTCTTCTCCTGCCGCTCTCCTCTTCACCGGCTCCAGCTGCTCCCTCACTTGATCTTCAATCTTCGCGCTGCCGCACGGCTCCTCCTCTCCAAGCTCTGCCTCCTCGCCTGTGATTGGCCGCCTGTGTGCCTTTTCTGAGCTACAGATCTGGCGTCCAATCACCGGCGAGTAGGCGGAGCTTGCAGAGGGAGGGACAGACTGCCATAGGCTGCTCAGTGGTCCCAGGGGTAGCCAGATTCGAGGGGCGGCTTGTCATCCCGCCCACATCGCAATCAAGATCCAGGAAGATGAAGACACCGGACGGACACCTTCTGTACCCCTCCTCCAGCAGCACCTTGTGGACCAGATTGACGTTGGACATGAAGTCAGGTAAGACACAGCAGCCTCTGTCCCTTTCCCACGGAAGTGTCCCTTCCGTGGGAAAGGGGGGGGGGGGGGGGGGGGGGCAGTGCTGCCGACGTGCCGCCCCCTGAAAAGTGCCACCCTAGGCAAATGCCTTGTTTGCCTCGCGGCAAATACGCCCCTGGGACAAGTGAGGGTCAGTGGGACAGGTAGGGGGCAGCGTGACGGGGGCATGGGACAGGAGAAGCGCAGTGGGACAGGAGAAGCGCAGAAGGACAGGTGAGGGGCAACATGATGGGGCATGGGACAGGATCGGGGCAGCAGGAGAGGAGGAGCGCAAAAGGAAAGGTGAGGGGCAGTGGGACAGGAGGAGCGCAGAGGGACAGGTGAGGGGCAGTGGGAAAGGAGATGTGTAGAGGAACAGGTGAGGGCAGCGTGACGGGGGACATGGGACAGGAGGGGCAGTGTGACGGGGGGCATGAGACAGGATCGGGGCAGTGGGACAGAAGTAGCGCAGTGGGACAGGAGGAGCGCAGTGGGACAGGTGAGGGGCAGAAGGACAGGAGGAGCGCAGAGGGATAGGTGGGGGGCAGCGTGACAGGGGCATGAGACAGGATCGGGGCAGCAGGACAGGAGGAGCGCAGTGGGACAGGTGTGGGACAGGTGTGGGACAGGTGAGGGGCAGTGGGACAGAAGCGTAGAGGGACAGGTGGGGGGGCAGCGTGATGGGGGGGGCATGGGACAGGATCGGGGCAGTGGGACAGGAGGAGCGCAAAGGGACAGGTGAGGGGCAGTGAGACAGGAGGAGCACAGAGGGACAGGTGAGGGGACAGGTGAGGGGCAGTGGGACAGAAGCGTAGAGGGAAGCGTGGGGGGGGCAGCGTGACGGGGGGGCATGGGACAGGATCGGGGCAGCGGGACAGGAGTAGCGCAATGGGACAGGAGGAGAGCAGTGGGACAGGTGAGGGGCAATGGGACAGGAGGAGCGCAGAAAGATAGTGCGGGGCAGTGGGACAGGAGGAGCGCAGAGGGATAGGTGGGGGGCAGCGTGACAGGGGGCATGGAACAGGATCGGGGCAGCTGGACAGGAGGAGCGCAGAGGGACAGGTGAGGGGCAGTGGGGACAGATGGGGGTAGTGGGACAATGTGGGGGACAGGAGGGGGGGGGACAGTGTATCTGGGGGGGGACAGGAGTGGCACAAGTCTTCCAAGCACTTACCTGTCCAGCAGTGGCTCCTCCAGATGGTGTCAGGATCACTCCAGGAGGGGCGCCTGTGTCCCTTCTCCCCCAGTATCTTCGGCGGTGGCTGCAAAAGAGCGGGCAAGCGCCTCCACCCTGACCCTCGTCCTCTTCTTCCTCCTTCGCTGGCACCTTCTGGCCTTCCTGCACATCCCGGCGTGCACTGACAGCACCCCCCGGCCCCCACGCGCTCCGAGCGCACACCGATGATCCGCACACCACTCCGCTCTCCTCTGCACCCCTCCTCCAGCAGCGCCTTGTCGACCGGATCGACGTGGGACACAGAGTCAGGTAAGACACAGAAGCCCCTGTCCCTTTCCCACGGAAGTGTCCCTTCCATGGGAAAGGGGGGGGTGGCGCTGCTGCCGTGCCGCCCCCCTGAAAAGTGCCGCCCTAGGCAAATGCCTTGTTTGCCTCGCGGCAAATACGCCCCTGCTGCCATGTCTTGGTAAGTTTGCAGTTGTGCCATACTCTTTCCATTTTCAGATGATGGATTGAACAATGCTCCGAGAGATGTTCAAAGTTTGGGATATTTTATTATAACTTAACCCTGCTTTAAACTTTATAACTTTATCCCTGACCTGTCTGGTGTGCTCCTTGGCAATCATGATGCTGTTTGTTCACTAATGTTCTCTAACAAACCTCTGACGTCTTTGCACAACAGCTGTATTTATACTGAGGTTAAATTACACACAGTTGGACTCTTATTTACTAATTAGGTGACTTCAGAAGGCAATTAGTTCCACTAAATTTTAGTTAGGGGTAAAGGGGGATGAATATAAATGCACTCCACACTTTTCAGATATTTATTTGTAAAAAATTTTGAAAACCATTTATCATTTTCCTTCCACTTTGTGTTGGTCTGTCACATAAAATCCCAGTAAAATACATTTACGTTTTTGGTTGTAACATGACAAAATGTGCAAAATTTCAAGGGATATGAATACCCCCTGGTTAAGTAGACCAAGAACGTTTGCAGCCACAACTGCCAGAGGAATTGTTGGGAATACAAAAAAAAACCCCACAGGTAACTTCAGGAGAAATACAGGCTGCTCTGAAAAAAAATGTGTGGTTGTTTCAAGGAGCACAATACATACTATGATACAAAAATGAACTGCATGGTCGAGTTGACAGAATGAAGTGCCAGTGCCACAAAAAAGCCTGCCTACACAATGCCTGACAACAACTTGACACTCCTCTCAGCTTCTGGCACACTGTAATCTGGAGTGACGAGACCAAAATAGAGCTTTATTCTTATACAGGATTTATATAGTGCAACTATAGTTTGCTTAGTGCTTCGCAATATAAAGGGAGAAAATACAGCAACAATACAGTTCAATACAAGAGGGTTGAGAGGGCCCTGCTCCTTGGAGCTTATAATCTATGAGCTTTATGCTCACAACCATAAGCGCTATGTTTGGAGAGGGGTCAACAAGGCCTACAGCGACAAGAATACCATCCCCACTGTGAAGCATGGTGGTGGCTCACTGTTGTTTTGGGGGGGTGTGAGCTCTAAAGACATGGGGGACCTTGTGAAAATTGATGGCATGTTGTGTGCTGGCTGATCACATTGCCAGGAGCTGAGGATCCCTCTCCACAGCTCTATGTGAGCTTAATCACCCACAGAGCTGTGTGAGGAGGACGATAGAGGTACTGCTGTCCACTGATGATTCAGAGAGGGAACTCCAGACCAGTCTGTGCATACCCTTAAGAGGATCTCTGGCTGACCTATTGAGAGTTTATATTCTGTAATGCGTGATTATATTGCGCATGTGGTGAGTGCGTAATTCTTCTATTACCTGGCACATCACCATATGATTGGATATAGAAAGTTGATCACCTTACTCTGAGATCATAATACAGGATCTTCAACCGCATCACTTTCTTTTTGGACATTGTCACTTTACTTAGCACCATTAGTCATATTGAGTAACAGTATATACAGTTATCACTTTTCACTTTATGGACTCATTCATGTTATGATTTTATGGTCACTTTATATGCACATATATCACTTTACATAATATTTTGATACAGTGATATGTTTGTTATTAATTTTTGCTGGTTTATATGCATTTATATTGCTTTTGCACTTTTTGATTTATTGCACTTTATTTGACATTTGACATTCTGATCTCAGCGCTGCACCTGCTTTTATATATATCACCTGCAAGAATTTGGGGCTTCACAGACAACTATTAGAAAAAACTGCACACTGCCATTAATGCTAAAGGGGGCAATGCACAGAATTAAGAACTAAGGGTATGCATACTTTTGAACAGGGGTCATTTCATTTGTTTACTGGTTGCCATGTTTTGTTTTATGATTGTGCCATTCTCTTATGACCTACAGTTGAATTTGAATCCCATAAGAAATAAAAGAAATGTGTTTTCCTGCTCACTCATGTTTTCTTTAAAAATGGTACATATTATATACAAATCTCCAAGGGTATGCAAACATTTGAGCACAACTGTATAAAGATATCAGCCTTGAGGAAATTGCCAAAAAAAACAAGTAAGCAGTGGCAGCTCTATTAGGCCAAACATGCCTCCAAATTTCTCCTAAAGCCCTTTTTTGCAAAGCAACATCTCATGATAAAGTTGTGGCTAAGCATGCTCCTATCCACCTCTTGTACCTGTCTGTTGGATTACGAGGGCCACCCCCACACCTACCCCACCCCAAAAACACCCATGCTAAAATGCTAACATTTGGGTGACACATTCACGCCATTCTGCACTCTTTGGAGCTGTCTGTCTGAGTGTATATACATTATGTGTGTGTGTAGATATAGTCTAAATCGTGATAGTGTTATGCTGGAATAAATTAGTGTGTTTTTTCTTTTAGCTGGGTCCAAACCCCACCACAATAGGAGAGGTCAATTTAAAACAAGGAGAGAGCACTCTGATGAATGGAGATCAGACTCTTTACATGGTGAACTCCTTATATCCTTACATTCTTGTATTTAATAATGAGAGCCCTCACAATCTCACAATGGCTGCAAAACCCAAGACTATGAACAAAAAGCGTGGTCCAGCTGCTTCCCCAAAGAAAACAATAACAGATTTTTTTGGTGGGGCTGCATCAAAAAGCCCAAAGAAAAGTCAGAAAGTGGAAGATGATAAATTGGAACCAAGCAGTAAGAGGACAAAGCGTCAGGAGTCAGAACTGGGAGCAGCTGAAGACAGTGATGAAGAAATTTCTAGTAAACTGAAAGAATTTCAAGAGATAGCAGCCAGAGCAAGTAACACTAATATAAAAATATCTTCTGACTCTCCAGAGGTACTGACCGGTAGAATCTGCAGCAAAGACTCTTGGGAAGAGCATGGAAAGCTCCTGGTGTTTAACAAGAAAGGTGTCCAAGCTTCTTCCAAGGTACAGAAACACCCAAATAACAGCTTATAATTGAAGCAGTGATCAGTTTATGTGTGTATTTCAGAGAACATACAAACCTTTTAACACCAGCTCCTGCCCCATCTATTGCACCCCCACAACATTCAGAGCACAAGTCTGTTATTTTACCAGTATGTTTGGGCAGTGGGAAGAAACTAGAGTATTCCAATAAATCTATACAAATGTAGAGAGAACATATAAGCATTTTAAGGGGTAGTGTTACTGGTGAAAATTGAACACAGGATTCCAGCTGCACAAAGCAGTAAGCCATGGTGCTTAGAAAAGTATGAAACTAGTAGCTTTATCCCATTGAAAAAGTACACAACTAACAAAATCCTGGTTAGTGTGTGTTCATCATATCCTGGTTTCATTTCACTTTGTCTCTAAAGACTTGACAGTCTCAGCTTTGAGGTTGAACCCTGTCTGCCTGCCACTCCCTTCCAATGAAAGCACCAGTGCAAAATAGACAGGGAAATAATTGTAACCTTCCTCACTCTTCTAGAAAAACATTTTCTCCCAGCATTCATTGGGAAGCATAGTTAGGTAATTTTCTACTATAGCTGCTTCCTCTAAGAAGTTTGACAGTAGGCTAGCAAAGACCACAGCCCAATCTATTCTGTCTACCCCTGCATATACTGAATGCAGTTGAGTGTTCAGAAGAGGATCAGATCCTTATGGTCATTGCAGCAGTCATCACCAACGTTTGTACCCAACACCCAGATTTAGATATGCAATGCACAGCTCCCTTCCTTAGCACGTGTCAAAGCCACCACAGCAGGCTCATCTGGCTTATCACCTGACATACTCCCAGATTGTGGGCTGTGATTTAGAAATCACTAGAAGTAGCATGTAGGCTGTCTTGTGAGGCTTCTGCTGTGTCTCTTGTGAAAGTGCAAATGTTGGAGTACTTCTTCTTAAAGCTGCTTTTATGCCAGCCTGGGCCCGCTATTTTGTTTAACTTTCAACTGGCCATTTCTGCCTTTGTCCACCCTTATCTAGGAACCTTCTTTATAATCTAGTTCCCAGAAAGAAAATTTTTTCTTTGGTATTGATCTTCTCTTCTACTTTCTTTGACTATATAAAGCAAAGTGTTGCACTAAGATTGCACCAAATAGGACACTCTTTACAAGACGTCCAGGAAAGCCACTGCAAAAGCATGAGAGCAATGGATAATGCACAGATCTTGCACCTTCCAGTAGTCTGAGGGTCAGGGACAAACTGAGAACAAAAACAAAGACAAAGGGAAGCGCAGACCCTAGTGCAGTAATGAATAACAAATAAAAATAATCAAACTCACATTTAGGACTGCGGCTGTCAGCAGAATCTTAGGATTTCCAGAACCTCTTCTAAGATACTGCCAAAAATACTGGGTTTCAAACTCAGACCATCTACTAAGGCCATCCCCAATCATCAGCCGTTTAAAAATGTTATTACTAGAAAAGTGGAAGCATCCTAATGGGTTTTTTTTTCCTCCATCTCTAAGCAGTTCTCCACCTTTTATCCATTTCTAGGGGAATCGGCTAAGAAGTGGATGGTTTGCCCATAATGGACCCGCCAGTATCTTGCAATAACAGGGTGGCAGTGATTCTCTTTGTGGAGTCTGCACCCTTTAAGGGTTCTATAGACAAAAAAATTGGACTCCTTCTCTAAACTATTTTTTGTTTCTGCCATTGATTCTTCTCTCGGGCCAATCTTCCTGTGTACCCTGGTTTCACAGGCAGTGGCTAAATGAAGTAGAATCCAGCATCAAGAACTTTTTTTATGAGGTATCTCCCCAGCACCTGATTGATTTAATGGACTAGATGGTGCAAGCAGTAAAATTTTGCCAGTGAAGTCTTCCTAGTTTGCAGACTAGCATTTTAGTCACATGGGGGTTTATTTACTAAAGCTGGAGAGTCCAAAATCAGACTCCCTTCTGCATAGAAACCAATCAGCTTCTAACCTCAGCTTGTTCAATGAAGCTTTGGCAATGAAACCTGGAAGCTGATTGGTTTCTATGCAGAAGGGAGTCTGATTTTGCAGTCTCCAGCTTTAGTAAGTAAACCCCATGATGTCTGATAACTGATGTCAGGTTTAGTTTTCCAAAAAAGTGTTTTTCTTTTTTTAACATGTTACATGGAAACCTAGACAGAACATGTCTAATAGGTCATAAAAATGAGACGGGAAAAAAGAGCTTTTTCTTTCTCTCTTGCTGGCACACATTCCAGGGGTGGAGAACATGAAGGTAAACATCCAAAGTACACCAAGTATCAACCCCAGGGAATATTCCCAATATCAATATTTTTCTTCTACTTTTTACTTTGTTTCCTTGTAGTGGACTTCCAGAATCAACAATGCATTGACCTCAGGGAATGGTCACCAGTGCCACATCAATATGTGTTTCATCTAGGGCTGCAATTAACAATTGTGAAACAGTCTGAAGATCATAGAATCCAAGATCCTCATCTAGTACAGCTCTGCAAAATAAACTCCAGTGCATAAATGAGAATGAAACGCCCACACAAATAAACATTACAAAAATGCTCAAGAAATATAAACATTCAAATGCCAGTAATGTGTCCTTAAATTACATAAAATAAAATTAGTATCCATATATTATATTAGTATATACAGTATAGTTTTAGTTTATGTAATTTAAGTACACAATACTGGCATTTGAATGTTTATTTATCTATTGAGCATTTATGTATTTGTCATTTATGCACTGGAGTTTTAGTTTATTTAGCAACACTGTACTAGATTAGGATCTTAGATTAGAGTGTTTTACAATTTTTAGGGGTATTTTAGGTACCACAGGTATTTTAAGGGACTTTATATGCACTGATTTATTCATTTATAATTTTTGTGTTAGCATTTAGTCACTATCCTAAAGCACAGGCGGGTTGAGTGTTGGAACTAACTAACAATTCTTTTCAGAATCAATTAGTTGGTTGATTTTTGTTTTGATTATTCAGATAAAAACCTTAATATACCTCAATATATTTTTTTTTTTTTTTTTAAATAATTTTAAAACCCTTTAACTTTACACAACTGTACACATTTTTAAAAAGCAGAACCAGCTATATGGTTAGGGAACAATAGATCTAATCCACTCTCAAAATAACAGAAGAGGTACATATGTATTCTTTATAGAGGATTAATCCGGTACATATCAGAATCCAAAATCAAAGCTTTTACTGAAAGGGAAAAAAAAGGCCTAAAACACTGTTTTTTTTCAGACAGAGCTAAAATATAATATTATGCGAGACAGAGTCCCTTGTCATAGACAGGTAGCTTGATACAAGCTACCTGTACCTGCTGTCAGTAAGACATTTAGTAGGAGCAGCAAGCTCTTTGTATCTCTTTTCATGATGGGGGTTAAACAAAAATAAAAATTAGCCCTTTATAGGTGCGCCCACACAGGGGCTATCAATGGCACATAAATAACAAAAACAGTGATATAACACTTACAGTAGCTCAAACCAAAGGCAGCCATCCACCGCCTCACAAAAAGGCAAGCAAAAATAGAAAGGGGAAAAAGGAGTAGAAAAGGAAGAAGACAAGACCAGCAGTGGTCCGGGAACGCCAATACCGAACAACATCACAAACCCAAACTAGCTGGGGGGAGCGAGGGAAAAGCAAATGTCAACCACGGCTGCCGTATTTTCAGAAATTTCTGTTGGGAGTCTTTACAGATACTCCACATCTGTTCATTGAGCATCAGAGTGGTCATACGGTCCCGTACTCCCTGAAGAGGGACAGACTTTGCTTCGATGCCTAAGCAATTGTTCTAGTTGCCGACAAGAACAAATAGGAAGCCAACTTCTGCTGATGAGCCAATAAGCTTGTATGGGACAATGAAGCAAAGCATATCGAGCATCCTGGCGTATGGAGAGATGGAACAAGATGAAAAGGATTCCAAATACACAAGACCAAAATCTGAGACTGAATCAGTTTTGGGCATGACCATCATACTGTACATGCAACACATCTTCACGATGACCACAACCCCGAAAGCATCGATCACTGCAGGCAGGGTTCACCTAGGCTAAACAAGCCGTGATTCCAATACCAACAAAATAATACTTTGTATGCTGCCTCCATCGTGGTTGTATTAAATGAACATTTAGCTATAAACAATCAAGCCCTTTTTCAATCCTCAAGATCCACGACCTCCCCCAGGTCGCGCTCCTACTGAGCAACATATGAGAGAGAAGTATGCATCAAGCATCTATTCAAAGATGCATAAAATAGGGAAATAAGGCCCGGGGTGCCTGGACGCTGTTGCCAAAGCTGTTCAAAGGCAGATTTCTGTTACCGGAAAGCGGAAGTGTCCCGCAGTGAGGTCAGCCAGTACCGCAATTGAAGGTAACAAAATAATTCTGCCTGAGGGACATCCCATGACTCCCAAAACGAATTCCAGATGGGGAAGGCCCGAGAAGTCAAAAAGTGTCGCACCTGTGAAAAAACATTGGCCACACACCAAGAGAACGCTCTTGGTTGATCTAAACCCAGCGGGAATAGAGAGGATTGTTAATAATTTGGAGCAAAGGTAGGAAAGGTGACATCAAGCCACTGGAGTAGCGTACCGAGTCCCACACTTGTAGACCATGGAGCAAAATCGGACTTCGTGTCATAGGGCGTAGGGTGGGGGGAGCCATAGAAGCAGCGATGTTGCAATAGGGGCACAATTAGGTAGTTCCAACAGGACCCAGAGAGGAACGTCAGATGAAGCGTGCAACATAGATAGTGGGGCAATCTGGCTTGCCTGATAATATTTAGTTACATTAGGCACCCGAAGACTTCCCTGGAGTCCGTGGACAAAAAGCGTATTTCTGTAGACTCTGGTGCGCCTGTTGGCCCACATAAATTGCATAATCCTCGCTTGAATCAACGGAAGGAAATGAGGAGGAACCTGCACTGGGAGGGTGTGAAAATAATGCAACAATTTAGGCAGGATGGTCATTTTCACTGTGTTTTACCCGTCCTATCCAAGACAGGTG